GTTATTGTTATTGTTGTTGTTGTTGTTGTTGTTGTTGTTGTTGTTGTTGTTGTTATTATTATTATTATTATTATTGCTACTATTATTGTCATATTACATTTTATTGCACATTTCTTCTAAGGAATAGCATTTACGGTGGCTTGTAAATATCACTGAAAACATTAAACCTTAAAAATAAAACAGTAATCATAGATCATAGAAGGCAGTGAAGCAAATGAATACACAGAGAGGAGAAATAGTTCATGAAAGTGGTCAGGCAAATTATGTGGCATCCAGACAAAGAGCAGAATGATGCATATGATCCACGCTGTAACCTTTGTGATTGGACAAGCTACCGTGACATCTTCAGTGTGCCAGGGTAGATGCTTCCTGCCAACCCATTGTATGGGAATTGATGGATTCAAGTGTGAAACCTCATGGGCTGTTTCAGAGTGCTGTGGATTTATTTACACCACCGTCAGTCCTGGTGTGCGTGACTAATTCCATTGTTTGCCCTGCAGGGGGTGGTCAGCTCCAGTAGTCGGTGGAAAGACAGCTGCTCTGTAGAATATAGGGTATGAGTTTAGGTTCTGCCTATTTCCTAGTTTTGGTGCTGGCAGGATTCTTCTGACCCAGCATCCAACAGATTATTTGTACCTTGATTTTGTGTTTCCTCAAGGGAAGAATCAAAATTTCCTCATTTTCTGTGAGCATGCAGCTGTGGTGTGAAGTCTTCCTTATCCTAAGTTCTGTAATCTTTATTGCAAATTTTTTCCCTCTGGGTGAAGTGGTGAATCTGTAAACCACCAGGATATGAACCTTTGTTTTATCAAGACAACTGAGTGATGACACTGCCTGGGTTATGTGTTAGGAACATCCACCATTCCTTCCTTATACATTCCTGTCAAAAAGTGGTCATGTACAGGATAATGGTCATGATTAGGAGATTCAAATCCCCATCTTCAGGGGTTCCTGACTTGTGCTTGATATAGACAGCAGTTCATGATGCTGAGGGCATTGTGTTTCATTTCACGGATATGTCTTGTCAGTACAGTGAATTAAGTTGATTATTGTGGAATATTCCTCTGTCAGGTATGTGGGTTTCCTTCTTTCATGTACAGCTGCTCTAAGTGCATTACTTATCATGCTATAATTGGGGAGTGTTGTTATTTGTACCATGGATCTTGGAGATGTTTCTGAAAGTGTTAATACATTGCTTTTCTCTAAACATCTTTAATTCAGAAAGCACAGGATGCCAGCAGGACCATAGGGCTGACCTACGAAACTTTAGGAGAGGTCTTTAAAGCAGGCTTGGCAGCACATAACACACAATTGTAACATTGTCCTAAATATATTTCAAACACAAGGTTGTCCTTTCTAATACCATAGCATTACAAGGTGATTAAAAAAAAGATCATAAGACCTGTCTTTCACTTCTCAAATGCCATGATGTGATTAGAAATCTTTCCAACTGTGAGAACATCTCTCTGACTTCCCTCTACTAGTATCCTGCTCTGCCTGAGATATTCACATGCAGCTATCACACGGGGGTTCCTTAATATATTTAATATGCTGCTTGGTGGTATTAACATGTATTTTTCATATTTCTTGCAAGCAACTTTTGTTGCTCTCTGTAGGAGTTGTGGGTGTGGGAATGGGGAGGAAACACCAAAAGTAAGAATTTAAGAAGAACCATATTGGATGAAATCAAAGGCCTATCTAGTCTAGCATTCTGTTCACAGACTGGCCTACCAAATGTCTGTGGGAAGCCCACTAGCAGGACATAAGAGAAACATGAACTTCTCACTCGTGTCTCTGGTACTTCAGAGGATATACAAGGGTATATCAAAAAGTTGTTGCACTTCTGTTTTTGCCTTCAAAGTAGAAATGATTTATTAGTGGACACAATGATTGTTTGATATCTACTGGTACATCCATTAGAGGCCAACACCCCATTAACACTCTGTCCAGTCAGCTTCCAAAACTGCCTTAATTTGTGGCCATTACTATGTCTTGTGGTAATAGATTCTGCAGTTTAATTATGGGATATGTTGAAAAGTACATACCATTCAACTTTGGTGGAGAACTCCATCTTCCAACATTATGAGACAGAAAGATTATCTTCACTCAGACAGTCCTATATGATGGTGATGGGGTTCCCAGTCAAGAATGGAAGAGATTCCATGATGGCAGGACATCTTGAAATCTTCTCTTCGAGAGCTATGGTCTTTACATAAAAACTCTTTCCTGGCACATGTGGTATGTGCTGCTCTTTTCGGTCTTTAAGAACTGACATTATTTTGTGTTGATGCTGCCATGAAACACTACACTGTCTTGCATTACAAATATAATGGTTTCAAATTCATGAAAACAGAGATTGACAGGAAAGAAATCCCATCAATTAAATGCAATCAACCTAGTTCCTTGTCGCCCCAGTGCTCTTCCTCCCTCTTTTGACACTTGCATTTATCCACAAATTCTTGGCTTCTGTGCAAATTCCTTGCTGGATGTTGATGAATCCATTCTTAATCTGACTTGACTAAAATATATAAAGCGTCTAATCAGTTTAGCATTTAATCACATTGGACACAACATGTATAGTTGACAGAGCAGAAGATTTATTTGATATAAGCTGATTTAAGAGTGGAAAATCATGGGGATCTCTGAAGAGTTTGAGATTCCAGCTCTAGCCACACCAGCAGTAGTAGTTTCTGTTTTACCACAGGAGAATCAAAGCTAGCTTTTCATATGCATAAAATAAGGCAAAGGAGGAAGATTAAGTTGGTATTGTTAATCCTTAATTGTTCTAAATGTAAACTTCTAAAATTGTGGCATTGCTGAAATGACTGAGATTAACTTGGTACTGCTCATTCATAAATATTGAGAGTGCTCCACAGTTACGTTCTGAAACATTTTTTTTTCCTGCCATGGATGAAATGGATTCACTTCCACGCTCCTCAATACCAAACATATAGTTTAAATTGTCATGCCTGGAATTCTGTCCCTGACTCCTAAGGATACGTCATTGGCAAATAAAGGCACTTGAATTGTGTATCTCAATGTTTCCAAAGAGTTTTGAGTCCTTTGTTACATAGATGGATTTTGCAGAGATAAATGGTCATGTGATATTTTCTTTATTGTTTATAAACATATTTGCATCTTTGCTTAAACCATATACTTGTTTAGACATTTCAGCTAACCTTTGTGCAATAACTACTCTCAAAATGTGGGGCATTTTGTTCTATCATTGTAAAGGACCTTTTTAACTTTCTCATATGTTGTTTAATCAGGGGAGTTATTTGACTGGATGCTCTTTTGAGCAAACATTTCTTGTTCTTTATGTCTCATTGTCATGGTTACTCAGCTATGTAATACACTGCACACTTCCTTGAAACAAATCCCTATCATTTGGCTTTCAGATGCAGCAGAAAAAACACCTCCTTGAATTTTCAAAATCGTGGATGTATATGTGTAAAGGAAAGAGATTGAGAATGAGAGAGAGTAAATAGAAAGCAGAAAGGACTTAGAGAAGCAGACACAAAGAAAGAAAGTGTTGTCTGTGTGCATGACTGTCCCTTCAAGGGCAAAAAATAGACTACATGGATGGACCTAGAAGTGGAAAAGGGTATAGGTAAAATGAGAAGAGTTAGTAAAAAAAGTAGAATTTAAAAAAAAAAAGATCTTGGCTTTTTAAAAGTGAGGTGTGAAGAACAATGTAATTTTTCTAAACATGAAAGTAGCAGCAGGAGACTAAATGTTCAGCTGGAATAGGAGCCAGTTAGGGTGATGGTTTTAATCATTATCTAGGAACTTCAGAGGTGGAAGGGACTCTTTGGATCATCAAGTCAAGCTCCGTCAAGGAGGCACAGTGTGGGCCACGTCTAAATGCCCACAGGAATGTGAGAGCTGCTTCCCCTCTTCAAGGTATGAAGTCTCCGTCAAGGAGGCACAGTGTGGACCACGTCTAAATGCCCACAGGATTGTGAGAGCTGCTTCCCCTCTTCAAGGTATATCTGAAAGAAGGAGATATATGAGGAGGGGCAGTCAGACAGATTTTTTCTTAACTTCATTCATGCCTGCTTAGCTGAGAAATTGCTCGATGGGAACTATCTGTGAAAACAGCCCTCAAAGTGCTTCGTTAAAAATCAGGAAAAGGCCTTTGGAACTTTAATAAAACACATAATTTTGGAGCTACCCACAAGAACTTGGTGCACAGCCTGAGGAAGATTAATTATGATCAAAAGCTCCGTTTGTTTTTTGTTTAGTTACAGTATATTTCTTTAGTGATCCAATAAAATATCACCTTTTCCTGAATTTGTATTGCTTCATTAATTGGTGATAACCCCTACACAATTATAAGGTTCACTGGACTTCTTG